TGGACGACTCCTGAGTCTGATTCTCTCTGTGTGTGTGTGTGGACGACTCTAGGTGCGGGTGGTTGGACGACTCCTGAGTCTCTCTCTCTCTCTGTGTGTGGACGACTCTAGGTGCGGGTGGTTGGACGACTCCTGAGTCTCTCTCTGTGTGTGTGGACGACTCTAGGTGCGGGTGGTTGGACGACTCCTGAGTCTCTCTCTCTCTGTGTGTGTGGACGACTCCTGAGTCTCTCTGTGTGTGTGTGGACGACTCTAGGTGCGGGTGGTTGGACGACTCCTGAGTCTCTCTCTCTCTCTGTGTGTGTGGACGACTCTAGGTGCGGGTGGTTGGACGACTCCTGAGTCTCTCTCTCTCTCTCTCTGTGTGTGGACGACTCTAGGTGCGGGTGGTTGGACGACTCCTGAGTCTGAGTCTCTCTGTGTGTGTCTCTGTGTGGACGACTCTAGGTGCGGGTGGTTGGACGACTCCTGTGTCTCTCTCTCTCTATGTGTGGACGACTCTAGGTGCGGGTGGTTGGACGACTCTGTGTGTGTGTGTGTGTGGACGACTCCTGAGTCTCTCTGTGTGTGTGTGGACGACTCTAGGTGCGGGTGGTTGTACGACTCCTGAGTCTCTCTCTCTGTGTGTGTGGACGACTCTAGGTGCGGGTGGTTGGACGACTCCTGAGTCTCTCTCTCTGTGTGTGTGGACGACTCTAGGTGCGGGTGGTTGGACGACTCCTGAGTCTGAGTCTCTCTCTATGTGTGGATGACTCTAGGTGCGGGTGGTTGGACGACTCCTGAGTCTGAGTCTCTCTGTGTGTGTCTCTGTGTGTGGACGACTCTAGGTGCGGGTGGTTGGACGACTCCTGAGTCTCTCTCTCTCTGTGTGTGTGGACGACTCCTTAGTCTCTCTCTCTCTGTGTGTGTGTGGACGACTCCTGAGTCTCTCTCTCTGTGTGTGGACGACTCTAGGTGCGGGTGGTTGGACGACTCCTGAGTCTCTCTCTGTGTGTGTGGACGACTCCTGAGTCTGAGTCTCTCTCTGTGTGTGTGTGGACGACTCTAGGTGCGGGTGGTTGGACGACTCCTGAGTCTCTCTCTCTGTGTGTGTGTGGACGACTCTAGGTGCGGGTGGTTGGACGACTCCTGAGTCTCTCTCTCTCTGTGTGTGTGGACGACTCTAGGTGCGGGTGGTTGGACGACTCCTGAGTCTCTCTCTGTGTGTGGACGACTCTAGGTGCGGGTGGTTGGACGACTCCTGAGTCTGAGTCTCTCTCTCTCCGTGTGTGGACGACTCTAGGTGCGGGTGGTTGGACGACTCCTGAGTCTGAGTCTCTCTGTGTGTGTCTCTGTGTGTGGACGACTCTAGGTGCGGGTGGTTGGACGACTCCTGAGTGAGTCTCTCTCTCTCTCTCTCTGTGTGTGGACGACTCTAGGTGCGGGTGGTTGGACGACTCCTGAGTCTCTCTCTCTGTGTGGACGACTCTAGGTGCGGGTGGTTGGACGACTCCTGAGTCTCTCTGTGTGTGTGTGTGGACGACTCTAGGTGCGGGTGGTTGGACGACTTCCTGTGTCTCTGTGTGTGGACGACTCCTGAGTCTCTCTCTCTCTGTGTGGACGACTCTAGGTGCGGGTTGTTGGACGACTCCTGAGTCTCTCTCTCTGTGTGGACGACTCTAGGTGCGGGTGGTTGGACGACTCCTGAGTCTCTCTCTCTGTGTGGACGACTCTAGGTGCGGGTGGTTGGACGACTCCTGAGTCTGAGTCTCTCTGTGTGTGTCTCTGTGTGTGGACGACTCTAGGTGCGGGTGGTTGGACGACTCCTGAGTCTGAGTCTCTCTGTGTGTGTCTCTGTGTGTGGACGACTCTAGGTGCGGGTGGTTGGACGACTCCTGAGTCTGAGTCTCTCTGTGTGTGTCTCTGTGTGTGGACGACTCTAGGTGCGGGTGGTTGGACGACTCCTGAGTCTGAGTCTCTCTGTGTGTGTCTCTGTGTGTGGACGACTCTAGGTGCGGGTGGTTGGACGACTCCTGAGTCTGAGTCTCTCTGTGTGTGTCTCTGTGTGTGGACGACTCTAGGTGCGGGTGGTTGGACGACTCCTGAGTCTGAGTCTCTCTGTGTGTGTGGACGACTCCTGAGTCTCTCTCTCTCTGTGTGTGTGTGGACGACTCCTGAGTCTCTCTCTCTGTGTGTGGACGACTCTAGGTGCGGGTGGTTGGACGACTCCTGAGTCTCTCTCTGTGTGTGTGGACGACTCCTGAGTCTGAGTCTCTCTCTGTGTGTGTGTGGACGACTCTAGGTGCGGGTGGTTGGACGACTCCTGAGTCTCTCTCTCTGTGTGTGTGTGGACGACTCTAGGTGCGGGTGGTTGGACGACTCCTGAGTCTCTCTCTCTCTGTGTGTGTGGACGACTCTAGGTGCGGGTGGTTGGACGACTCCTGAGTCTCTCTCTGTGTGTGGACGACTCTAGGTGCGGGTGGTTGGACGACTCCTGAGTCTGAGTCTCTCTCTCTCCGTGTGTGGACGACTCTAGGTGCGGGTGGTTGGACGACTCCTGAGTCTGAGTCTCTCTGTGTGTGTCTCTGTGTGTGGACGACTCTAGGTGCGGGTGGTTGGACGACTCCTGAGTGAGTCTCTCTCTCTCTCTCTGTGTGTGGACGACTCTAGGTGCGGGTGGTTGGACGACTCCTGAGTCTCTCTCTCTGTGTGGACGACTCTAGGTGCGGGTGGTTGGACGACTCCTGAGTCTCTCTGTGTGTGTGTGTGGACGACTCTAGGTGCGGGTGGTTGGACGACTTCCTGTGTCTCTGTGTGTGGACGACTCCTGAGTCTCTCTCTCTCTGTGTGGACGACTCTAGGTGCGGGTGGTTGGACGACTCCTGAGTCTCTCTCTCTGTGTGGACGACTCTAGGTGCGGGTGGTTGGACGACTCCTGAGTCTCTCTCTCTGTGTGGACGACTCTAGGTGCGGGTGGTTGGACGACTCCTGAGTCTGAGTCTCTCTGTGTGTGTCTCTGTGTGTGGACGACTCTAGGTGCGGGTGGTTGGACGACTCCTGAGTCTGAGTCTCTCTGTGTGTGTCTCTGTGTGTGGACGACTCTAGGTGCGGGTGGTTGGACGACTCCTGAGTCTGAGTCTCTCTGTGTGTGTCTCTGTGTGTGGACGACTCTAGGTGCGGGTGGTTGGACGACTCCTGAGTCTGAGTCTCTCTGTGTGTGTCTCTGTGTGTGGACGACTCTAGGTGCGGGTGGTTGGACGACTCCTGAGTCTGAGTCTCTCTGTGTGTGTCTCTGTGTGTGGACGACTCTAGGTGCGGGTGGTTGGACGACTCCTGAGTCTGAGTCTCTCTGTGTGTGTCTCTGTGTGTGGACGACTCTAGGTGCGGGTGGTTGGACGACTCCTGAGTCTCTCTCTCTCTGTGTGTGGACGACTCCTGAGTCTCTCTCTCTCTGTGTGTGTGGACGACTCCTGAGTCTCTCTGTGTGTGTGGACGACTCTAGGTGCGGGTGGTTGGACGACTCCTGAGTCTCTCTCTCTCTGTGTGTGTCTCTGTGTGTTGACGACTCTAGGTGCGGGTGGTTGGACGACTCCTGAGTCTCTCTCTCTGTGTGTGTGGACGACTCCTGTGTCTCTCTCTCTCTCTCTCTGTGTGGACAACTCTAGGTGCGGGTGGTTGGACGACTCCTGTGTCTCTCGCTCTCTCTGTGTGGACGACTCTAGGTGCGGGTGGTTGGACGACTCCTGTGTCTCTCTCTCTCTCTGTGTGGACGACTCTAGGTGCGGGTGGTTGGACGACTCCTGTGTCTCTCTCTCTCTCTGTGTGGACGACTCTAGGTGCGGGTGGTTGGACGACTCCTGAGTGAGTCTCTCTGTGTGTATGTGTGGACGACTCTAGGTGCGGGTGGTTGGACGACTCCTGAGTCTCTCTCTGTGTGTGTGGACGACTCTAGGTGCGGGTGGTTGGACGACTCCTGAGTGAGTCTCTCTCTCTCTGTGTGTGTGGACAACTCTAGGTGCGGGTGGTTGGACGACTCCTGAGTGAGTCTCTCTCTCTCTCTCTGTGTGGACGACTCTAGGTGCGGGTGGTTGGACGACTCCTGAGTGAGTCTCTCTCTCTCTCTCTGTGTGGACGACTCTAGGTGCGGGTGGTTGGACGACTCCTGAGTCTCTCTCTCTGTGTGTGTGTGTGTGTGGACGACTCCTGTGTCTGTGTGTGTGGACGACTCCTGTGTCTGTGTGTGTGGACGACTCTAGGTGCGGGTGGTTGGACGACTCCTGAGTCTCTCTCTGTGTGTGTGGACGACTCTAGGTGCGGGTGGTTGGACGACTCCTGAGTGAGTCTCTCTCTCTGTGTGTGTGGACGACTCTAGGTGCGGGTGGTTGGACGACTCCTGAGTCTGAGTCTCTCTCTGTGTGTGTGGACGACTCCTGAGTCTCTCTCTCTCTCTGTGTGTGGACGACTCTAGGTGCGGGTGGTTGGACGACTCCTGAGTCTCTCTCTGTGTGTGTGGACGACTCTAGGTGCGGGTGGTTGGACGACTCCTGAGTCTCTCTGTGTGTGTCTCTGTGTGTGGACGACTCTAGGTGCGGGTGGTTGGACGACTCCTGAGTCTCTCTGTGTGTGTCTCTGTGTGTGGACGACTCTAGGTGCGGGTGGTTGGACGACTCCTGAGTCTCTCTGTGTGTGTCTCTGTGTGTGGACGACTCTAGGTGCGGGTGGTTGGACGACTCCTGAGTCTCTCTGTGTGTGTCTCTGTGTGTGGACGACTCTAGGTGCGGGTGGTTGGACGACTCCTGAGTCTCTCTGTGTGTGTCTCTGTGTGTGGACGACTCTAGGTGCGGGTGGTTGGACGACTCCTGAGTCTCTCTGTGTGTGTCTCTGTGTGTGGACGACTCTAGGTGCGGGTGGTTGGACGACTCCTGAGTCTCTCTGTGTGTGTCTCTGTGTGTGGACGACTCTAGGTGCGGGTGGTTGGACGACTCCTGAGTCTCTCTGTGTGTGTCTCTGTGTGTGGACGACTCTAGGTGCGGGTGGTTGGACGACTCCTGAGTCTCTCTGTGTGTGTCTCTGTGTGTGGACGACTCTAGGTGCGGGTGGTTGGACGACTAGTGCGCGTGCGCTTCGAGGGCTGGGGCCCAGCGTACGACCAGTGGGTGGACTGCGAGTCGCCCGATCTCTACCCCGTGGGGTGGTGTGAGGCGACAGGTCACCTGCTCACCCCTCCGCCCGCGTCCACCGCTCAGCCACCGGCGTCGTCCGCGTTGTCGTCCACCGCTCAGCCGCAGCAGCAGCAGCAGTCGGCGTCCATCGGCGGACGATCGTTGGGGTCTTGTCCACCTTCTGGCGGCGGTGGTGGAGGTGGTGGTGGTGGTGGAGGTGGTGGTGGAGGTGGTGGTGTGGGAGTCCAAGTGAAGAGGCAGAGGTCAACTTCGCCGGCTACCAGCAGCAGCCAACCACGCAGGAGTGAGTTGTGGTGGTGGTGGTGGAGGTGGTGGTGGTGGTGGAGGTGGTGGAGGTGGTGGTGGAGGTGGTGGTGGTGGAGGTGGTGGAGGTGGTGGTGGTGGAAGTGGTGATGGTGGAGGTGGTGGAGGTGGTGAGCGTGGTGGTGGCGGTGGTGGAGGTGGTGGTGGTGGTGGTGGTGGAGGTGGTGGTGGTGGAGGTGGTGGTGGAGGTGGTGGTGGTGGTGGAGGAGGAGGTGATGGTTAATGCGGGTTATGTGGTTATACTTTATTTGGTGATGGTTGGTGTGGTGATGGTTGGTGTGGTGGTGGTTGGTGTGGTGGTGGTTGGTGTGGTGATGGTTGATGTTGTGGTGATGGTTGATGTTGTGGTGATGGTTGGTGTGGTGGTGGTTGGTGTGGTGATGGTTGATGTTGTGGTGATGGTTGGTGTGGTGATGGTTGATGTTGTGGTGATGGTTGATGTTGTGGTGATGGTTGGTGTGGTGATGGTTGATGTTGTGGTGATGGTTGATGTTGTGGTGATGGTTGGTGTGGTGATGGTTGATGTTGTGGTGATGGTTGATGTTGTGGTGATGGTTGATGTTGTGGTGATAGTTGATGTTGTGGTGATGGTTGGTGTGGTGATGGTTGGTGTGGTGATGGTTGGTGTTGTGGTGATGGTTGATGTTGTGGTGATGGTTGATGTTGTGGTGATAGTTGATGTTGTGGTGATGGTTGGTGTGGTGATGGTTGGTGTGGTGGTGGTTGGTGTGGTGGTGGTTGGTGTGGTGATGGTTGATGTTGTGGTGATGGTTGATGTTGTGGTGATGGTTGGTGTGGTGGTGGTTGGTGTGGTGATGGTTGATGTTGTGGTGATGGTTGGTGTGGTGATGGTTGATGTTGTGGTGATGGTTGATGTTGTGGTGATGGTTGGTGTGGTGATGGTTGATGTTGTGGTGATGGTTGATGTTGTGGTGATGGTTGGTGTGGTGATGGTTGATGTTGTGGTGATGGTTGATGTTGTGGTGATGGTTGATGTTGTGGTGATAGTTGATGTTGTGGTGATGGTTGGTGTGGTGATGGTTGGTGTGGTGATGGTTGGTGTTGTGGTGATGGTTGATGTTGTGGTGATGGTTGATGTTGTGGTGATGGTTGGTGTGGTGATGGTTGGTGTGGTGATGGTTGGTGTGGTGATGGTTGGTGTGGTGATGGTTGATGTTGTGGTGATGGTTGGTGTGGTGATGGTTGGTGTGTTGATGGTTGATGTTGTGGTGATGGTTGATGTTGTGGTGATGGTTGGTGTGGTGATGGTTGATGTTGTGGTGATGGTTGGTGTGGTGATGGTTGGTGTGTTGATGGTTGATGTTGTGGTGATGGTTGATGTTGTGGTGATGGTTGATGTTGTGGTGATGGTTGATGTTGTGGTGATGGTTGGTGTGGTGATGGTTGGTGTGGTGATGGTTGGTGTGGTGATGGTTGATGTTGTGGTGATGGTTGATGTTGTGGTGATGGTTGATGTTGTGGTGATGGTTGGTGTGGTGATGGTTGGTGTTGTGGTGATGGTTGGTGTGGTGATGGTTGATGTTGTGGTGATGGTTGGTGTGGTGATGGTTGGTGTGGTGATGGTTGGTGTGGTGATGGTTGATGTTGTGGTGATGGTTGATGTTGTGGTGATGGTTGATGTTGTGGTGATGGTTGGTGTGGTGATGGTTGATGTTGTGGTGATGGTTGGTGTGGTGATGGTTGATGTTGTGGTGATGGTTGATGTTGTGGTGATGGTTGGTATGGTGATGGTTGATGTTGTGGTGATGGTGGATGTTGTGGTGATGGTTGGTGTGGTGATGGTTGATGTTGTGGTGATGGTTGGTGTGGTGATGGTTGGTGTTGTGGTGATGGTTGGTGTGGTGATGGTTGATGTTGTGGTGATGGTTGATGTTGTGGTGATGGTTGATGTTGTGGTGATGGTTGGTGTGGTGATGGTTGATGTTGTGGTGATGGTTGGTGTGGTGATGGTTGATGTTGTGGTGATGGTTGATGTTGTGGTGATGGTTGGTGTGGTGATGGTTGGTGTGGTGATGGTTGGTGTGGTGATGGTTGGTGTGGTGATGGTTGATGTTGTGGTGATGGTTGATGTTGTGGTGATGGTTGGTGTGGTGATGGTTGGTGTGGTGATGGTTGGTGTGGTGATGGTTGGTGTGGTGATGGTTGGTGTGGTGATGGTTGATGTGGTGGTGATTGATGTGGTGATGGTTGGTGTGGTGGTGGTTGGTGTGGTGATGGTTGATGTTGTGGTGATGGTTGATGTTGTGGTGATGGTTGGTGTGGTGATGGTTGGTGTGGTGGTGGTTGGTGTGGTGATGGTTGGTGTGGTGGTGGTTGTGGTCATTCCAGGGTCAACTCCACTGATGAAGAAACAGAGGGAAAATGAAGAGGATAGTGAGTGACTCACCACTCACTCACCCACTCACTCACTCACCACTCACTCACTCACCCACTCACTCACTCACTCACCACTCACTCACCCACTCACTCACCTACTCACTCACTCCCTCACCACTCACTCACTCACTCACCACTCACTCACTCACCCACTCACTCACCCACCCACTCACTCACCCACCCACCGACTCAACCCTACCCACTCACCCACCCACTCACCACTCACTCACTCACTCACCCACTCACTCACCCACTCACTCACCCACTCACCCACTCACTCACTCACCCACTCATCCACCCACCCACCCACCCACTCACTCACTCACTCACCCACCCACCCACTCACTCACTCACTCACCCACCCACTCACTCACTCACCACCCACCCACTCACTCATTCATTCACTCACCCACTCACCCACCCACCCACTCACTCACTCACCCACTCACTCACCCACTCACTCACTCACCCACTAATCCACTCACCCACTCACCCACCCACCCAATCACTCACTCATTCACTCACCCACCCACTCACCCACCCACCCACTCACTCACCCACTCACCCACTCACTCACCCACCCACTCACCCACCCACCCACTCACCCATCCACCCACTCACTCACTCACCCACCCACCCACTCACCCACCCACTCACCCACTCACTCACTCACCCACCCACCCACCCACTCACCCACTCACCCACCCACTCACTCACCCACCCACTCACTCACCCACTCACTCACCCACTCACTCACTCACCCACCCACTCACCCACTCACCCACCCACTCACCTACCCACCCACCCACTCACCCACCCACTCACCCACACACTCACCCACTCACTCACCCACTCACCCACCCACCCACCCACTCACCCACCCACTCACCCACCCACCCACTCACCCACCCACCCACTCACTCACTCACCCACCCACTCACTCACTCACCCACCCACCCACTCACCCACCCACCCACTCACCCACCCATGTCTCTCCCCCCTCCCCCCCCACTGGTCTAGTTGTGTTCGTGAAGGCTGAGTCTTCAGATGATGACGATGATGAAGATGATGACGATGATGATGATGACGACCATGACGACGTTGACGACTTTGACGATGATGCCGGCGACGATTGGGATCTCCGTGGGGACGAGGGTGATGGCGGCGGCGATGTCCGTGCCGGTGTGGCGGTGAAAGACTCCGGCTGAGCTGTCAAGGGGACATCCGGAGGAGGAGGAGGAGGAGGTGGTGGTGATGATGGTGGTGATGGTGGTTATTATTACACCTTGGTATGCTGGAAGGGGTGAGCACAGAGAGACAGAGAGAGAGATAGAGAGACAGAGATAGACAGAGAGAGAGAGACAGAGATAGAGAGAGACACAGAGACAGATGGAGAGAAACAGAGACACAGAGAGAGACAGACAGAGAGAGACACAGAGAGACAGAGAGAAACACAGAGACAGAGAGGAGGAGGTGGTGATGGTGATGGTGGTGATGGTGGTGATGGTGGTGATGATGGTGATGGTGGTGATGGTGGTTATTATTACACCTTGGTATGCTGGAAGGGGTGAGCACAGAGAGAGAGACAGAGACCGATAGAAAGAGAGAGACAGAGAGAGAGACAGAGACAGATGGAGAGAGACAGAGAGAGACAGAGACACAGAGAGAGACAGACAGAGAGAGACAGAGAGAAACACAGAGACAGAGAGAGAGACAGAGAGGAGGAGGTGGTGATGGTGATGATGGTGATGATGGTGGTGATGGTGGTTATTATTACACCATGGTATGCTGGAAGGGGTGAGCACAGAGAGAGATAGACAGAGAGAGAGACAGAGAGACACAGAGAGAGAGACACAGAGAGAGAGACAGAGAGAGACAGAGACACAGAGAGAGACAGACAGAGAGAAACACAGAGACAGAGAGAGACAGACAGAGAGACAGAGAGAAACACAGAGACAGAGAGAGACAGAGAGAGAGACAGAGAGGAGGAGGTGGTGATGGTGATGGTGGTGGTGATGGTGATGGTGGTGATGGTGGTGGTGATGGTGGTTATTATTACACCGTGGTATGCTGGAAGGGGTGAGCACAGAGAGAGATAGACAGAGAGAGAGACAGAGATAGACAGAGAGAGAGACAGAGAGAAAGAGAGAGACACAGAGAGAGACACAGAGACAGACGGAGAGACACAGAGACAGACAGAGAGACAGAGATGAGGAGGTGGTGATGTTGGTGGTGATGGTGGTGATTATTACACCGTGGTGTGCTGGAAGGGGTGAGCACAGAGAGACAGAGAGAGATAGAGAGACACGGAGAGAGAGACAGAGAGAGAGACAGATAGAAAGACACAGAGAGAGAGACAGACAGAAACAGAGAGAGACACAGGGACACAGAGAGAGAGAGAGAGACAGAAAGACAGAGAGAGAGAGACAACAACCGCCATTCGCCACTAAGTGGCGGTGACGTCACCACGACGCTTGTGCCAGGCTAGGTGCACCCCGAGGCCACGTGAAGTGTCGAACGCCCGCTGGCAGGAGGTCACGGGGCAGACCCAGCAGGTGCCACGGGTCGACTGACTGAGATGACTGCTGGCTGATGCACCACCTGTGCCCCCTACTGTGCCAACCTGCTGTGCTTTAGCCACCCGGCGCTCCGCTCGTTGTTCTGAGCGTCGCTCCTCCGCCCTCCGTTGTTGTTGGAGGGCGACTGCCTCCAACTGCCCAGTAGCATCCTTCACGAGCCTCCTCCACAGAGGCCGATCTTGACACCGCTGGTACCGGTCATCGGCAAGTCCACACAGCTCCACGTCCTCCTGTACCACGTCACTCCATCTCTTCTCTAGCCCGTGCCGCGCCCGCTTAGCCCGCTCAATCCGGCCGAACAAAAGCTGTTTCGGCATGCGTTGGCTGGGCATGCGGGCTACATGACCCAGCCATCGCAGCCTTGCCCGCCGGAGGAGCTCACCGATGGGACCTTGCCCAGATCTTTCAAGGATTTGTGAGCTCCTCACACAATCCAGTCTGGTTAAACCCAGGATGGATCGTAGGCAGGCCAGCCTAAATGTTTCTAACCGGCGAAGATGTTCCATTAGGGGCGATCCACGTTTCGCAAGCGTAGAGAAGGGAGGGAATGACCGTGGCCGAGAAGACCTGAAGCTTAGTGCGGAGTGACAGACCAGGTAGCTTCCACACAGCGTTACGCAACTGATGAAAAGATATTGCCACTCGACTGATTCGGAGTGAGACCTCTGCTGTTAAACTGGAGCCAGTCATAAGCACACTGCCCAGGTATGGGAAACTCTCCACTCTCTCCACAACTGCCCCATCACCGATTGGGAGTTGTGGGGGTGGAGTGTCCGATGGTACAAAATACCCAGGCAGGTGCTTAGTTTTGGTGGGGCTGATGTTAAGGCCCCACCTCTTAGTGGCACGCTCCAGTCTCAGCAGCAGCGTCTCCAACTCCTCCTCTGACTGAGCAGCTATTACCAAATCATCAGCATACATAACGTGGTTGAGCAATAGGGAGCCATCCCTTGACCGCACCCGGGCATCAATCAGCCTCCCATTATATCTGTACCATATGGAGATTCCCCCGGTACATCTATTGAAGGCTTCACGAACTACGTGGTCAAAATAGATGTTAAATAATGTGGGAGCCAGAGGACATCCCTGTCGCACCCCATGGTGTACAGGGAATGGCTCTGACTCCGGGCCACGTAGTTTTACCCGGGCCGCTCACCATCATGAAGGTCCTTAATGATCGTGAGCAGAGGGTCAGGTACTCCAAAAGCACGAAGAACGACCCAGAGCCCAGGCCTACTGATGGTATCATAGGCCTTGACCAGGTCAATAAAGCAGAGATGTAGGTCTTGTTGGAATTCCCTACACCTCTGCTGTAGCAGACGGATAGAAAATATGGCATCTATGCAGGACCGCCCTTTCCTGAAACCTCATTGGGACTCCGCAAGCCTCTCCTCAGCGTGCCTGGCAAGGCGATGCTGAATAATCCTTGCCAGGACCTTTCCCGGCACACTGAGGAGTGAGATGCCCCTGTAGTTGTTACAGTCTGTGCGGTCCCCCTTCTTAAAGAGGGGGACCACCAGGGCATCCTTCCAATCCTGCGGAACCTGTCCAGTGGTCCAGACCGTTGTTATGATGTAATATAGGGCAGTCTGTGCACAAACGCCACCCTCCCTCAGCATTTCGCTTGGGAGATCATCTCTGCCCGCTGCCTTTCCTGGTCTCAGACTCCGGATCGCCTTCAGTACTTCCTCAGCAGATGGCACCTCAGCCAGCCACTCACAGGGGGTGACTTCTTCCAATATTTGAGGCACCGCAGCCTCAGCAGGGTCATCCTCACTTTGTGCCACGATGTTTTCCTGGTTGAGGGATTTTCCCTCCCCCAGGACCTCACAGAAATGCTCAGCAAATCTGCAAACCTGTTCCTGGGGGTCGGAGATTGGATCACCGTTTTTTCCCCTAATGATGGTAATAGGTGTGGCGCTGCAGGTTACTTTTTTGATGGAGTTAAATAGAGATTTGTGATCACGGGCCACTGAGGCAGACTCCATCTCCTCAGCAACCCGCGACCACCACCCATCCTTGCAGCGCCTCACGGCTCTCCGAACCTCCGAGCGAAGGCTGCGGTAAGCCTCCTCATTCTCTGACGTGGGATTCTGTAGCCGATGACAGTGGGCCTGTCGCTTTTTCTCAACCATCCTGAACACCTCCTCTGTCAGCCAGGGTCTCTGGGGAGGTCTGGACCGTGTACCCAAAGCAGCCATTGCAGCTACATGAGTGACAGTCCTAAACCTCGCCCATTTACCCTCGACATCAGGAGGAGTCGGGGACGATGCCAATCCCAGCCGCAAGCGATGATGAAATTCTCGCTTGCAACTTTCATCAGATAACTGAGACCAGGCCACTTTAGGTCGGAATGGGGTCCTGGGTGTACACCCACCACCGGAGTGGAAGAATGGCAGGCGCATCTTACAGATGACTAGTCGATGGTCAGAGGGCAGATCAGCTCCACGGTAGGTCCTGGTGTCAAGGACATGGGCTCGCATCCGCTGGTCCGTCACTATGTAGTCCAGCAGATGTTCTTGCTTGGACCCGGCATGCATCCACGATGTTGTGTGGATGCGCCGATGCCGGAACAGCGTGTTGGTAATTACAAGCCCATGGGCTGCACAAAAATCTAGCAGCCTCCTACCGTTGTTATTGAGCTGATCTGGCCCATGCCCTCCAATCACTCCAGACCAGGTGCCAGTATCATGACCAACTCGGGCATTGAAGTCACCCAACATGATGACTCTATCCCGAGGGGCCACTTTAGCCAGCGCCTGTGACAGGAGGTCATAGAAGGCATCTGACTCATCGGCTTTGCCTGCATCCCTCCACGGATGTTCATCTTCAGTGGGGGCATAAGTAACCACGACCACCATTCCTCGCCTCCAGTTGATGGGAAGGCGAGCCCAAAGTAGCCCGGGGCTTACAGCTTCCCACACCTCACCGCCACGCTCCCACGCCCCCTTCATTCTTTTGTTCAAAAGAAGAGCCACACCCTGTTGTTTGGCAGTCTGCTGCCCCGAGTAGAGGACTGTCCACCCCTCATGGTGGCAGGAGCCAGAGCCGGTCCACCGGACCTCCTGAATGCCGCATAGATCAGGCGGTTCCGGTCCAGCTCCCGACATAGGAGTGGCAGCCTCTCCTCCGCAGTGAGCGTTCGAACATTCCACGTGGCCACCCGTAGTGGTTTTTCGTTGTTTCTGGAGGAGCCCCGAGGGTAGAGATTCAATCTCCTGGCTCCGCCAATTGGGGTTTGGCCAGGAGACGTCATAGACGCCTGGCCCCCCGGGGCCTCCGGCACAAGCTTATTAGTTACATATTTCAGTTTAACTCGTGGTTTAGTGGTAATTAATTGAAGGTGGAGGGGTTACCAGCCCCTCGCACCCGTCCAGAGAGAGAAAGACACAGAGAGAGAGACAGACAAATGGAGAGAGCCAGACAAATGGAGAGAGACAGAGAGACACACGGAGAGAGACACAGAGAGAGACAGAGAGAGACAGACAGATGGATAGAGACAGAGAGAGACACAGAGAGACACAGAGAGAGAGACACAGAGACAGAGACACAGAGAGGAGGAGGTGGTGATGGTGGTGATGATGGTGGTGATGGTGGTTATTATTACACCTTGGTGTGCTGGAAGGGGTGAGCACAGAGAGACAGAGACAGTCAGAGACACAGGGACAGAGAGAGACACAGAGAGACAGACAGAAACAGAGAGAGACACAGGGACAGAGAGACAGACAGAGAGACACAAATGGAGAGAGACACAGAGAGAGACAGACAGATGGATAGAGACAGAGAGAGACAGAG